CAAGTCCAAAATCTGATGGGGAGGCCAGCAGGCTGGAGACTCAGGAAAGAGCTGCAGTTCCAGTCCAAAGGCGGCTGCTGGAGAACCGGTAAATGCTGATGTTGCAAATGAAGTCTAATGAGCCAGTGTTGCAGTTGAAGTCCAAAGGCAGTCTGCTGGAGAATTCCCTCTTGCTCAGTAGAAGTCATCCTTTTGTTCCATTCAGGCCATCGACTGATTGGGGGAGATCTGTCCACATTTATGGAGGGCAATCTGCTTTACTCAGAGTCCACTGATTTAAATGTAAACCTCATCCAGACAGAGCCCTCGTCCCTAAGGCATCCCTCACAGGAACTTCCAGAATGTTTGGCCAAATATCCGTGGCCCAGCCAAGTTGACACATAAAAGTAACCATCACAGGAAGTCAGACAGGGAAACAAAAGAAACCAACAAAGGGTGCAATAGTAAGTGGATTTCCTGTGAGGGCAACTGGAGCTTCACTCCACTGGGGAACTGAGAAGGCACTGACTGTGCCCAGAGGTGTCCCCCATGGAGGCATTGACTGAGGGCTGTCCTCACCCTGGGTTGACCCTGCATTTGTAGCCTGCTGCACGAACAGCCGGAGTGGCTCTGGCAGTCAGAGAAAGCCCTGAGCGAAAAAAGGCAGGCGCTGGTGACTGTAAGTTGGACAGATGTGCGAAGGACCGGTATGGGACCAGAAAATTGGGCAGGATCTTGACAACATCTGCCACAGGGCTCCTTCAGCATGAATATGGCTCTAACTTATACAGCCAATCCTCCCTTTTTGTCTCCCTCTTGTGCTTCTTACAACTTCGAAGTAAGGAAAATAAGCTCAGTTTTAGCAGCAAGAGATTCAGAAGTAGGCCTTTAGAGAAATTCTTTAGGTCTGCTGTAGATAGTAAATGTATGCAGGGAGAGAACAGACACAAGTCTTAGTTTAGGCAGCTGGTGTTGGCTAGAAGCATGTTTTACATTCACATATGTACTGGGTACAAAAAAGCATTGACATTAGTCCTTTCCAAATTGGCAGGAAGGGCTCATCCAAGAATAAAGAATAAATTATTTTAAAACAATGAAATAAATGTTCAACTATAATCTTATTAACTCTGAAACAACTGCAAACAAAAAACATAAATATAAAACTGACTCTTGCCATAAGAAAAGTATATTACTAATTAGTTTCTTAAAACTCAAAGTTAAAAATATTATAACTTAAAAAAATACTTTATCTGTACTTCATGCCTAGCTTACCAAACTTTCTGGGTCAGTTCAGGGTCATTTTTTCTTTTGTTTTTAACAGTTTTATTGAGATGTAATTCATATATCACACAAACTACTCATTTAAAATGTAAACTTCAATGACTTTGAGTATACTCAGAGTTGTGCAACAATCAACACAATTTTAGAACATTTTCACTCCCCAAAAAGAAAGCCTTAGCTGTTGCTCCCCATTCCAAACCCTTATCCCACGGAGCCCTAGGAAACAACTTGTCTACTCTCTTGCTACGTAGATTTGCCTATTCTGCAGATTGCAAATGGATGGAATCATCCAGCATATAAACCTTTTTGACTGGCTTCTTTCACTTAGCACACTACTTTCAAGGTTCTTCCAGGTTGTAGCATGTATCAGTATTTTATGTCTCTTTATTGCCAATTAACATTTCATTCTATGCATATACCACATTTTATTTATTCCTTCAACAGCTGATGATCATTTGGATTGTTTCCACTCTTTGGTCTATCAGGAATATTGCTATGAACATTGGGAACCAAGTTAATTTGCATTTGAAGTAGTTTCAGAACTAGTTTTAAAAACTTGTGTGATTTTTTTTAGTCACGTATTTTTCCCTCAGTTGTGAAATAGTACTATCAACCAACATTGTTTTTGAATGGTTCAGTTTTATAGTGATTTTAATAAATTTATTTAATCTCAGAACATTTGTATACTGGTAAATATAGGTAAAGGAGAGCATTTATTGAGTTGGGAGGTTCACAGCTATGAGAAATTCATTATATACATGTGCGTCGGGAACTTAATTTGACTAGAAATGTAATCAGCTCTTAGAGAACATTAAATTATTATTGTTAGCAATCAGTGCATAGCTTTTCTCAGTGCTAAGATGCTTTGAGATCATGATGTTTACATTCTAGTTTTACTTTTACCAGCTGTGTGGCCTTGGGCAAGCTTACTAACTTCTTTGAGCTTCCATTTCCTCCTGTACAATGAGGATAATAAAAGTAGTTCCTACTTCATGGAGTTGTTATGAGGAAGAATAAGAGTTAGTACATAAAAAGCATTTACAACAGAGTGTGGCACATAGTAAAAGCTCAATAAAGTGTTAGCTGGATTAGTGACACAAATTCAAATCATGACTCTTCCATGTATTGTGTGACCCTGAGACAACACTTCATTTCCTAGGACTTCCATCTTCTTGCCTATAGGATGGTTATATTTCTGTGCATTTTGCCTCTCTCATGGGGTCAAATGAGGTCATGAATGAGCAAGTAAATGGTCACTGGAACTTCCTTTCCTCCTTGTGTTTTGCATTTTGACATGTCTCTGGGATATGTCTCACCCACATGTTGACTTTAGAAGTTTCCAGATAGCAGCTGAAAATTGCTTTTTTGATGAACCACCAATTACAGTGACAATCTAGCAAATGGGATGACAAAGTATGGACTGAGAAAGAGGACCTCTGCAGCCCAGAATACCTAAATGTGTTTAGCAAGGCATGAACCCTTAAACTACTGATGTTGAGGTTTAGTTTTTCCAATATTTTATTATGAATCTTCCTAAGCATATAACAAAGTTGAAAGAATTTTACAATAAAACCTATATATGCACACCACTTAGACTCTATCAACATTTTATAATACATGCTTTATTATATAACTATCCATCTATCTGTGTATTAAGGTAAGGGTTTAGATTTTGAATTAAGAGCTTGGAAGCTGCCTTACAGATGTGGTGATTATCCATCTTCAATTTTCTCAGTAACCCAGTTCCAAATATTCTATATTTGGACTTCATAGATCATTAGAATGTAACAAGAATTCTAGCAGGTTGTATTCAAAAGAATTTCCCAGATTTCCTTTAAGATTCAGAAATGACCTAAAAAATTAATATTTGGATCCAGTGGCTTCATTGATTTTGCAACTCATAGTTGGCATAGTTTAATCAGCTGATCCAAGTCCTTTAGCTTCGTTTGAGGATAATGAGGCTCAGGAGAAGTAACTGATCCTTTGTCTCATAGTCTGTGATAAAGTAAAAACTGGAACTAAGGTATTCTGACCCCAAAATAATTCTATGATCAAATTGTCTGCCAGTCAATTCTCTTTGTCTCTGGGATATGTCTCACCCACATGTTGACTTTAGAAGTTTCCAGATAGCAGCTGAAAATTGCTTTTTTGATGAACCACCAATTACAGTGACAATCTAGCAAATGGGATGACAAAGTATGGACTGAGAAAGAGGACCTCTGCAGCCCAGAATACCTAAATGTGTTTAGCAAGGCATGAACCCTTAAACTACTGATGTTGAGGTTTAGTTTTTCCAATATTTTATTATGAATCTTCCTAAGCATATAACAAAGTTGAAAGAATTTTACAATAAAACCTATATATGCACACCACTTAGACTCTATCAACATTTTATAATACATGCTTTATTATATAACTATCCATCTATCTGTGTATTAAGGTAAGGGTTTAGATTTTGAATTAAGAGCTTGGAAGCTGCCTTACAGATGTGGTGATTATCCATCTTCAATTTTCTCAGTAACCCAGTTCCAAATATTCTATATTTGGACTTCATAGATCATTAGAATGTAACAAGAATTCTAGCAGGTTGTATTCAAAAGAATTTCCCAGATTTCCTTTAAGATTCAGAAATGACCTAAAAAATTAATATTTGGATCCAGTGGCTTCATTGATTTTGCAACTCATAGTTGGCATAGTTTAATCAGCTGATCCAAGTCCTTTAGCTTCGTTTGAGGATAATGAGGCTCAGGAGAAGTAACTGATCCTTTGTCTCATAGTCTGTGATAAAGTAAAAACTGGAACTAAGGTATTCTGACCCCAAAATAATTCTATGATCAAATTGTCTGCCAGTCAATTCTCTAGTATTCTGTTTAGGATTTGGCTACACATAATTTGCTTGAAGAAAAGGTTTTGACCCCAGTAACTATACATGAAAAGCAATTGTGAAATACTGCTTTACTACTCCAAAATTAAAATGTCTCTCAGATAGCCTTAATTTTCCCTTTGCAAAGGGACGAATAGGGAGACTGTATTCTCATTTTACATATTGAGGAACTGAGGCATCAGGCGATAAACAACCTTGGGAATTGGGTTTTCTTGAGATACATTACATGGGATTCATTAATTTATTCCCTAATTAATCAAATACTTATAATATACCTACTATGTGTGCTTTTCTAAGTTCTAACTAATGTAATGCTGACAAGACAGACCATGTTTTTCTTTTCTTTTGGTGCTTAGAGCCTGGAGAGGGAAGTAACAATAATAAACAGGTGAATAAGTAGCTAATTTTTTTTACAAAGGCTATGGAAAAAGAGAAGTGGGATAATTAGGTAACAAGTTAGTAAGTAACTAGACAGGGGTTGAAAAATTTTTTGTGGGGGTGACATTTTAATTGATATTCAAATAATAAGAAAATAAATGAATGACCTATGGAGCGTGTCTTCACACACTCGCAGGGCTGTCAGTCTGAGCTGACACTGGGGTTTGGTCCTATGAGAGGAAATGCCAGGAGATTCCCGAGAGGTTTTCCTGTAAATCTTGCCAAAAGGGTCTTGAGGTAAGCAGCCTTTTAACATGGCTCCCTGTGACCCCTATCTCTTGGTGTTCACATCCTGTGTAATCCCATTTAGCCCTTGAGCTAGATTTAGTGACTCCATGCTGATGAATAGAACAGCAAACGTGAAGTAATGCCGTTTCTGACATTAGGTTATAAAAGATCGTCACTTCCATCTTACTGGCATTCTTTCTCTGGCTCTTTTTGTCAGCTTGCCCAGATGGAGAAGGCTATCTGGTAAGGAAATGAGGGCAGCCTTTAGTTAACATTCTTACAGGAGCTGGATCTTGCTAACAATCGTGTGAATGAGCTTACAAGTGGATCCTTCCCCTGTCGAGCCTTCAGGTGAGACCTCAGCCCTGGCTGACACCTTGCTTACAGTCCTGTGAGAAACCCTGAGACAAATGACCCAGCTAAACTGTGCCCAACTTTCAATTCATGGAAACTGTGAGAGAATAAATGTTGTTGTCTTAAGTCACCAAGTTTTGGAGTAGTTTTTTAAACAACAATGGAAAACTGATTTAGCTCTCATGAAGCATTGATAAAATGTATGTGAGATTTACTGAACTCTGAAGCAGGGAAGATA